GGGGGGGGGGGGGGGGGTCATCTTCTATTCAAGCAAATATGGTACCAATTTATATATACAGTTATTTACTGCCACATTTACACTTTTGAACTGATACAACCTCTAGTTACCAGTGAGAGAAATATCTCTTTTGGAAATCTGAGTTTGCTATAGGAGATATTTCAACTATTTTACTTATGAAAAGTAAGACTTGCTCTATATATTGTCCTGTGCGTCTTCCTTAGCACGTAAGGTTTTCCCAATTATGAACCAAAGTAGAAGTTAAAAATAATGATGATAATAATAAAAAAAACCTCATACTAATTAGTTCAGCACCTGAAGATCAGACATTTCACCTGGACACAAGAAGAGAACTACTCCAAAGCTCTAGAGCAGGAGTCGGCAACCCCCAGCTTGCATGCCATTAGTGGCATGTGGAGATGTTTTTCCCAGCACACCCGGAGGCATGCAAGGAAATTGTTTTGTTTGGTTGTTTTTTTTTAAATCCTGCTCTGGGCTCTCCCGTGCAGCCACAAGTCCCAGCACCGCAGCAGGCACTGGGGCAGAACCAGAAGAATACAGGCAGGGACACCGTTTGTGTTCTACTGCCCCTGCCCCTTGCTCCCAAGCTGCACCCTTCAGCCTGGCTGGCCCTTAGAGGGAGCTGCAGGTGGACAGGGCTAGGGCAAGACAGGTGCTGTGTAGGGTGGCTGCTCTGGAGGCTTCCAGCAGGTGGCAGAGCCCTGGGCCCAGGCAGGCAGACACCCTGTCCTACCCAGGCAGGGCAGCACTGGGGTGCCGAGTGCTGAGGCTGGGCAGACACCACGAGCAAGCCAGCCAAGTCGGGCCCTTAGGAAGGTGGGGGCTGGATGGGAAGTGGGGGCTGCCCCAGGGCTCTGCAGGCTCAAACTGTAGTGGGTGGGCAGGTAGGGGTGCCCAGCATCACCCATGGTGGGGCCTGGCCCGACCCACACAACTCCGCAGTGATGGGCTGCAGCCACCCTGCATGCAAGGGGATGCTGCCTGGCTGGGGCAGGATGCCGGGCTTGGAGGGCTTCCCTCGCCGGGATCGGCTTCCCTGCATGCTGGGCACAGTGCAAGCAGGGCAGAGCCATTCCCGGTGCAAAGGCCTGGCTGCCCCCTGGACCCTGGGAACAGCCACCACAGCTGCCCCAGCCTGCCCGGGCCCCAGCCTTACCCACCTACAGCTCCCTTCAAGGGGCCAGAGCCAAGGCAGGCACTGCACAGGTCTGTTGCGCTGCTGGCTCCTGGCTGGCTCAGCCCCGAGCACCCGCTGTGGCAGCTGTTCCCAGAGCCCAGGGGAACAGCCTGCAGCGGGGGCTCCCACTCACACTGTACCTGGCATGCACAGAGGCCAAGAAGGGAGCCCCCTGAGTCCAGAGTCCTGCCCCAGCCAGGAAGCATCCCTTCACAGGTAAGGTGGCTGCGCGCCATCCCCATGGAGCTGCACAGGCCAGCTGGGCCCCACCTCCAGTGCTTCTGGGCTCATCCACTGTGGCCCGAGTCTGAGGAGCCCTGGGGCAGCCTCTGCTCCCCGCCTGACCCCTGTTCTCCTCCAGCTGCATCTTACCCAAGGGCCTGGGCAAGCCAGCCAGCCCATGGCGACTCCCCTGGTGCCTGCTGCTCCTCTCTCCCTCTCATCACAACATGCTTAGCCAAAAAAAAAATAAAAAAATTCACAAGTACCAAAGCAGTACATGAAGTTTTATTTATTGTCACCAGGTTTAGAATTTTTAGAAAACCTTGGATTTACTGTTAAAAAAAAGCAACACTTATGATTATTAACTGTATTAAATATGCAGTGCATCCTGCCATGTACCACCCTCCACTCCCTGCCGCAGTTTTGTTTTTGTGGCATGCCAGCACTCTGGCACCTTACAAGGTAGACATTGTAGTTTTTTCAGCACTTTGGCCAAAAAACATTGCGTGCCACTGCTCTAGGAGGACAAGTGTAAGAGACTGTGTACACACTATAAGTAGATATTATTCCCTGACATATTTCCAGAACAATAACCACAGTTCTAGATACAGGAGTATAAACTTAAAAAGCTTTTAGGCAGAATATAAATATTGAATTGTACATTACATCAGGCAATAATTTGGGGGACAGACATTATGCATTCCTAGAGTTTCTTTTGGCAACCTATTTTTAGTATACTGAACTGCTCTGACACTAAACAGTGTTTTTAAGGACATACGTGTCTGACTCCACATCTGTTCCTCACATAGTCTGTGCACAAAGTAAAAAAATAAAAAGATTACATCATTTATAGCAATGGTGCTCAACCTTTTCCCCAGCAGGCCAAATGGGCAATGCCTGGTCTAACTATGGACTGTTTGGTGGTTCTGATCCAGCAGCCAGGGTGCACCACCTGGCCACCACTCCCTCACTGAGAGATTTCCTGACTGGTAGGGAGCACTGTGGGCCAGATACGATTGCTCTGTGGGCTGGAGGTCAAATTATACTATAACCAGTCTAAATTTTGAAGAAACCTTTTACAGTGTTTTGCCTTTTTTATGGTCCTGAATGATTAAGAAAGCAATCATATTAGTATTTAAATGTATAAGATAACTGCAATTTTGGGGAAATTTAAAGTAGTTGAGATAACATATAGATAGTTCTGTTATCTATATATAGATAGGTCTCCATCCATCCACACACACTAAAAGCTCTGTTATCTGGCATCCCCCGGGAATGGGGGATGCTGGATAACAAAATATGCCGGTTAATTGAGTGGCCCGGGCCACTGCTTCTCCCGCTGTGTCTGGGGTGTCCTACCGCCCCTCCCGCAGGCCCTGCAGGACAAGGGGGAGTGCCCTGCACAGCACACTATGCCTCCAGGCCATGGGGGCTCAGCAGCGCAGGCTACTTTGCCCCGGGCTACAGGGGCTCGGAGAAACCAAAGTGCCACGGTGGGCACCTCCGGTTTCACTTTATCTTACAGACCAGCATGCCAGTTAATTGAGCATGCCAGCTTCTAAGAAGCCAGTTAACAGAACTTTTACTGTATAAATGTATTAGTATAGCTATATATAAAATGAAGTGCATGTCTGTTCACTTATAACTTGAGAATGGCTGGTCCTATCTACTCTAAACCTTCCAAAAAATCACTGAGTACCACCTGAAAAAAAAATTATAGGCAAGTTATTTTTCATTTGACCCTTTGTGGGGCTTCCAGTGACTATTTAAGAGAACAATGCTTTTCACACAGAGTTTCATAGTAGCTAGGGTCAGGAGGGAGGTAAACAGATCATCTGCCCGGCCCCCCTGCCACAGGCAGGAATGAATGCTGGGTTCACAAGACCCCAGACAGACAAATTCAAGAGGAGGTTGGATGATCACCTAAGGTAGGAGTGAGGACCACTTCCCTGGGAAGCTGGTTCCAGATTTTGGCCATCCTAACTGTAAAATATTGCCTTCCAATCTCTAACCTAAACCTATTCTCCATCAGCTTATTACCATTGTTCCTGGTCACCCCAGGTGGTGCTGGGGAGAAAAGGGCTCTACCTATTTGCTGTTGATCTCCCCTGATGAGTTTGAGTTTGTAGGCAGCCACCAGGTTCTCCCTCAGCCTCCTCTTGCTGAGTCTATCCTCATAGACCTGTCCTACTGCCTTCTCAAGTTACATGTGGCTTGCTCTAGAGATGGTAGTCAAAGACGGTTGTGTATACTAGTGCCAACAGGAAGCATCACAAACTTTGTTTACAAAGAAGTTCTACAATAAAGATCATTCATTTGGATCTCATTTGAAGTGTTGCTCAATATTAAATATGTTGTACTAAATGTTCTTTAAAAATTAAACAATATTTTTTACCTAACTATGCTGTATGAAGTTCTTTGAAAATAAACAAACACTGCAATTACAAAAACAATGACATAAGAGAAGAACAGGTCCTTCCACTAGTCTATAAAGAGAGAGAGAGAGAGAGAGAGAGAGAGAGTGTGTACACACACAAAATACAGTACTTTTAAAAATACAAGTGTCACAGTATTGGAGAAAATATTAGACACTCACTGAATCTCTGGAAGCTGTTTCGTTTTTTGGCATTTCGGCTTTTCTTTCCAACTGGGAACAGCCTTCCACTTGGATATCACTATTAGGACATGTTGGACTACATGACAGCTCAACAGGATCAACACTTGAAGGAAAATTCAGTGGTTCTTGTACATTAACCTTGTGATTTTTCCTGTGGTGTGATAAAATGCATCTTTTAGGGAAAAATATTTTAAACTTTATATCTATTGAGGTTCACCATGAGACTATAAAAATACTTTCATCCAAATAATAAAAAAATCAAGTCTGCGCTTTAGATATTAAATAGAACAACAACAAAGACCTCCACTGCATTACATTTATCATTTTTTTTTTATTATTTTTTTTTTTTTTTTTTTTTTTAGAATAAATTTCCCCTGCTTTGTTACTGCATAGGACAAAAATACACCTCAGGGATGAGCCATGTGATTACCTGAAGGCAGCCCTTCAAATTAGTACTGCTTGAGGTTCAAAAATTAATACTACATACATTATACAAATATATAAAGTAAAACTTAGTTTTCCCTTACATGTACTACCAACTATATAGCAAACGGGTTTCGCCTCAATTTATTTGTTAGAGATATTAACTTACAATGCTATCATTGTTAATTTTTTTTTTTTAAATAAAGTGAATGAATGAATGAATGAATGAATTTTAAAAATTAATAATTTAACAAGATACCCGACCACAGGCTGAAAGTGTAGAAGTACAGAACTGACAGTTTTCTCCTGAACTGAAATTTGACACTAAAAATCTGTTTCCATTTTCAAATTTTACTAGGTTTTTCATAGAATCATAGAAGTAGGGTCGGAAGGGACCTTGTAGATCTTCAAGTCCGACCCCCTGCCTGGACAGGAGGGAAACTGGGCTCAGGTGACCCCAGCCAGGTAGACATCAAGCCCAGGGCAGGAGCCAGCACCACTTCCCTTTTTGCTTTGAACAAAATTAGAAAGCCTTGTTAGATGTTTCAATGTAGTTTGTATATAATAAAAACAGTAAATAAAGCTTTTCTAAAATTTGGACATCAGTGTACTTAAACAAAGAAATTTTAAAAATGCCACTACTAACTTTAAAATATCATTACAATTCTTTCACCTTATTTTAGTATCTGCCACACTACTAGCTCTCTCCCCACAGCTTAGAAAGTGGGTAGTATCCTAGAAACAGAGTGAGTTGATATTTAAGAATAATCATTTTGGCGACTATAAGAACCATCGGAAGCAAAATGTCTTATCAGTTTGATCTTTGGTTAATGGCCTTTACAATTTATCTTTCCCCTCTAAAATGTTATGGAAACTTACATGCACAAGGAAGCTAAGTAGAAGGGGTTACTTTAACATAAACGGTGCTCCTCTACCAATAAAAGATTTCTATTTCTGTACATACCATACTGCTTCTAATGTTGTTTAAGACAGAAAAATAATTTCATAATTTACGCAACTCAGGCTTTCACTGGGACTTGGACATTATGCCTTTGGAAAAACATCCATTGCGTAAACAGATAAAACAATACTTTAATTCCATGCATCAGATCACTAACAATTAAATATTTAATCCAGAAAGCAAGATTAGCAAAGTTTTCTTGCCTAAGATATTACCTTATAACCTGACCCATTGAAGTACCAAGAACGCAAACGCAAGATCTCTTGTATAGATTATTAACCTTCCCCAATTATTCAGTACTATAAGAATAATATTTTAAAAACTTTAAGCAGCCTTTTACATTTAAGTTTTATTCATTCAAGACCTGCTGTATGTAAAAATCTGTAAGACAAGTTTATGTTATTAATATAATACTATCATTTTTCTACATTAGGAGTCATTACCTTAGTGTACTTTCCACATCTGAGTGAGCAAAAAGGACCTTGAAAAGATATTTGTCTATTAACAGGGAAAAGCTGTCACCTGGGTTCAAAGAGTGCCACTCATGTGTCTCCAGTGGTAATAGGTCACCATTTTCAGATGACTGAAGAAAACAAGGATTTACATGGACCTGTCAATTAAAAAGATCATCATTAGTATATAGTTTACTTCACTATAGCTGCCATATGATCTTGCATGTAGCAGCCTAGGTTTGATGTAATTAACAATGATTCTACTTCAGTTTTGGAATGGCTGCTGGTATGATGAAATGAAATAATAATGAAGTATAATATTGGAAACAAAATCTATTACTACTTGTGCCAAACATATTTATACACTGTGGAGATACTGAGACTTCATAGTTTGTAGTGTCGGAAGGGACCTTGACAGATCATCAAGTCCGACCCCCTGCCATGGCAGGAAAGAGCACTGGGGTCAAACGACCCCAGCAAGGTGTTCATCTAGCCTCCTCTTAAAGACCCCCACGGTAGGAGCCAGCACCACCTCTCTTGCTCAAGAACAGTTATAATAATAGTTGATATGTTCACTTAGACTCATTTTGTTTACTTACTATGAACAAATTATCTTACCCCCAAATTTACAATACAAATCTAGTGAAGATTTAATTTTGGGGAAATTGCAAGAGTTAATTATAAAGCCTGCTTTAGTAACCCATTTTATAAAGTTCAGATATCACACATTAACAATTTAAGGAAAATCTGAGTGGGACTAGAAAGATCCAACTACCATGTTTCCGAACATCCAAGATACCTCAGGGTCTCTGCTATAGGCTTTTGCATACCAAAGAAACATCCTAGAGGCTAGGAGTGTCTGAAGCTAGGAAGAACGAGTCCTTTGGTCAGCAAAAAATTTATTTTTTTACTACAGATCATCACGTATGCTCCAAGGCAGACCCAGAAGTGGACCGGAAGTACTTCTGGTCCACTTCTGGGTCCACCACTGACCATGCGGGGCACCCCCCCTGCACTCCTGTGGGACGCTCCATCCGTCCCACCATCTCAGCATTCACGAGCCGCGCCTGGTACCTCAAGGTATGTAGAAAAAAAATATATAAAGCTGTGTCTGTGGCCGAATCACTGAATCTCTCCAAATCGAATTGGAGGCTTCCGATTTGATTCAGAAAGATTAATGGGTCTCCTGATTTGGAGGTTAGGCCGCCGAATTGAATCAGCGACTGAAGCTTTACCTCTCAGGCAGCACAGGGGGCCGGGGGGGGGGGCAGCCATGGGTTCCTGGGGCCACACACTAGGTACACTCCATCCCCCATGCTCCACAGCACACCCTCTATTTTCCCATCACACCCTATGGTCTCCCTGCATAGGGAGAAATGCATCATTTCAACCTCTGAGAATCATATGCAGTCCACAAAATCGCCAGTTGAACAGCCCTGATTTAAAAATGTTTAGTGACCGACATAATAGCAAATATGCAAATTCATAAAAGACAAGCTAATGACTTAGGGAACGGCCTAACAATATGATTTTGGTTTGCTTAAGAAAATCCAGTAACGATCCCCTCCACCCAGATGTCTCATCTTTGGAGCACAAAGTAGGACACTTAATTACCCATACATTTTTAAAAGGTACATTCTAACTCTACTGACATGAGAAAAAGGTAACACGTGCTTTCAATCAGTATAAAAAAGTTAAATTAGTCAAATGTCATGAAGTGCCCAAGTAAGTTAAAGGAGTTGTACTCTTCCTTTATGCAACAGTTATTAATCCTTAACAATTACCCTGTTTAATTAGACCTGCTGGAACTTGAATTGTTTTTAAAAACAAAATTTACCTATTCTCTTGTTTTTTCCTACTTTTAACATGAAACCAACAAGCTACAGATGATTGAAAAAGATTAATAAGTGCAGTCTAAAAATACTGGAGGAAATACTGTATAAAAATAAATAAATAAAAAAAGCATTGCACATTTCCTAGGATGAAAGCAGGCTTCAAGTCAGAGGTCTTCAGTTCAACAGCTATTTGCCAGCCCAGATTGAATCATTTTGGGTGTATAAATTTAAAAATCAGTCTGGATGATTATGATGGTTAATTTGCAAAAGAGGTAAAGGGCAAAGATCACAGATCTATGGAATTCAATTATCAGTTAAATAAGAAGGACCTATGATTGCATTATACCTTGCACATGAAACTTAAGAAGCAGATTAGTAACATTACCCTGATAATCACTTCTATACCAAACGCTACATGACTTAGCCAATGCCGGTATTTTTCTCTGCACAGTTGGCGAGTTGAAGAAAAAAAAAAAAAAATCTACATTTGAACTGCTCTAAAAATCAGAGACACTTCAGACTATAAAGATCATTTCAAACCCCAGTCAAAAGTTAAAGAGACTTCTGCCTGCCTACTTTCATGTTGCCCTCAATGCCTAGATGACTCTTAACTAATACACCCAAGGCAGTCATATCACACTGTATCAGACTACTTTTCTTATAAAATCTTCTATTTACAGTATCCACATGCTATATTATTTCATACCGAGAGCCCTTCAGGACATGGATCTGGTCTTTTCTACCATGGGTGCAATTATCTGCAGTGAAGTGCTGCATACAATCAAAATGCTGTACAAAGAAGATTCACTGAAAATATCATATATACATATAATTAAAGCTATTAAAATTCCTGTCTAAAGTATAGGCCTCTTCATTCATTTTTAAGATTGTTTAGTTCAATTGCTGTTGAAAGAAGGTTTAGATTAAAAGTGTGACACAGAAAAGGTTACAACATGGATCTGCATAGTATCTTTCATCTTAGGGAGATCAGATAAATGGAGAATGAAAAGGATAGGAAGGAAGATTCTGCTTGTTTTAGATTAGCAATGGAGCCTATTGCCTGGAAAACTAGTAAAGCAATGACATTGACAATAGGAACAGTTGAATAGTGAAAGGATGGGATTTGCAATTAAATAAAAAAAATGGTGATCAAAAATTGCATCCTTGTAATTGCTCAGGTTTTACACTCTTGCCTCTCATCACATCATTAGCTCCACAGTAAGAATTTTCCACACCCATGTTTCTCAGCCTGTGGATTGCAAAAATATATGAAAGGGTTGTGAACAAACTTTAAAAACAGATCAACAAACTTTAAAAATGGATTCTCCTTTAAAAGGAGAAAGGCATGGGAAAACAAGGGTTTTCCCTTGCAGGCTGGCAGAGTTCTAGCCTGCAAGAGATGCTTGCCATCCCCCACCCTCCCCCCGTCCCCCATGCACCCCCTCCTATGCCACAAACTCACCCCCTAGCCCCACATACTGGGGGGGCATTGGGTCAGGAGCAAAGGGGCATTGGCAAGGCCAGGAGGCTATTTTCTATTTAAACTATTTACTGGGTCAGAACTGGCCATCGATTTTTACAAACGGGTCCAGCTATAAAAACGGGTTGAGAACCACTATTCCAGACAAAGGTGGAATTCCCAATGTAAAAATTAGCAGATTCCCTAATCCAGCCATGATCACCAAAACACCCTAGGTTTTTAATGCATTATAAAATATCAAAAGAGAACACAAACTCCTTTCCCCCCCACCACCACTTTGGTGAAAACATGAAACCAACATTTTTTAATTGCAGAAGTAGCTTTTGCTGCTATCTGTGCAGACAGATAATGGGGCTCTTCTACTTATGAACTTCACCTTGTTTGCTACTAATGTTTTTGAGCAGATTAGTTGCTCTTCAGATAAATATAGTGCGTGTTCCACCCCTTGAAAATTAAGTGCACGTGATACTTCAAAACACATGTTCAAAAAAGTGTGTCCCCCAAGGGACACACATTTTGATTTTACAGCCTACCTCAATTTATTGTGAGTTCATTTAAAACAAATAGTACAAGCAGGCTGGAAAAAGGATGTTGCCAAGTAGCCTGTAACAGATGGAAAAGTTAGGTCTCTCGTCAGCTGCACAAAAAAAAGGAAGAATAAAGCAAACAGATCAATGACAGCAGCATCCAGCTACCAGTCAGAAGTGAAAAGAGACTAAAGAAAGAACTGCAGAGAAGAGCAACAGAAATGAACCGCCTGTCTGGAATAGGACTAAAGGTGGTCCAGATGTCAGCAACAGTAAATGCCTCGAGAGAAGCACATTGACAAGCACATAGGAGCTTGTTTCAGCTGACTGTGTGATCAGAGTACAAGCCTGTAACAACTGAAGAAAACAAAACTGGCTTTAGATTTCTGGACTACAGTCAGTTCAAAGGGAACAGGGAAAAACAAACAAACAAACAAACAGTTTAAACCAAAGTTTAAACCTATGGGCAAGATAAGGAATGTGGGCCTACCCATATCGCAGGGCCACAGCCCATGGGACTGGACTGCCCAAAAACCTCAGATGACAGGCCAGAGACATGAAGCCGGTTTGGTTGGCCACTCCTTGTTTAAACGGTTAATTTTCTAGCTAAGTCCATATAAATTGCATTTTACAGGCTTAAAAATTTAGTAGAATCTTTTACATAAATTACCTGGTTCAGAGCAGTTCCTAGGAACTTCCGCTTTTTAATCTGCTCCCTCTTATTCCACATTTGAGGAGTTTGGAAAAGTTGGTAAAGTTTCCTAGGTATATCCGTTAATTTCATGAGCTGGTCATGATTATATGCCACTTGGACCAGGTGGGATCAGAGGCCAGACTTAGGAAAAAGGCACTTTTGACCAATATTAGGCAGTTACTAACAAATGAAGAGGGGAAAACAAAATGAATGCTTTTATGTGCAAGAGTTCTTTGGGCTACTGAGGCTACTTTTTACAGAAAAGGATGTAGGGGCCCCATTCCACTATCATTTGGGTAAACAAGTTCTAGTATTGTAGGCTCTTGTATATACCTATAAACCTGAAAAAAAACTACAACTAAAGTTTGCAGTGTTACCTGCAATACAGATGTTTAAATATACATAATGGATAAAAAGTTTCTGAAAACAAGACGGCTGGAGATAATGTTTTATTAACTAGTGTGTGTTATAGAAATCAGTAACGTCATTAACAGGCACGAGCAGAAAAATTCATTTGAACTTGCCCTTCAATTTGCACATTCTTTTCCAAGCACTCCTCATTAACCGCAACCAAACACTCCATTTTTTTTTTCCATTTTGACTTATTACCAGTTATTCAGTTGCAGCAAGAGACACAAAAAGAAAATAATAAAAAGAAAAAGAAATAGATTTGATAACTTATAAAGCCAATCAAATGTCAGTGAAGAATGAATAATTCTTTTATAGCTTATACTTGCTATCTAAAGAATTCAATAATAAATCTATACTGATAAATCTTAATACATCTTTGTACATGACAACTTCAGTTTCATTGTTAAAATAAGGGGCACTAAAACTATTATCCCAAAAATAAAAACAAAGCGACCATAACATAATTCACTAGTAACAGACAAAAATTTCATAAGGTCAGTTTAGAACTAACTTTCAAGACGTTAGCTGTCTCTTCAAATTTTTCCAAAGGAAAACAGTAAAAACCAAGGAAGTTATTCAAGGCTAAAAAAAACCCTAAAGATGTTAAGGCAAGGAAGGGACAGTTAAAGTTTCTAAAAACCCTTAAGCCTGTAGAAATATAATGCAATGCCTGTAACTGGAATCACAGCACTGTAGCATTTGTGATCCAAAATTAAAAACTTAAAGACATAAGAAGTCTCGTTTCCCTGATGGTTTCATTTTAGAATACAGCTAAGCAGCCATTTCAGACATCTCTTTAGTATAGTCTTCACTCTGAATTTTCCAGGTTTCACCCAGTTGTAATTGTGATAAGGGTAAAATGTTAGAGATGATTTAATTAACCTGCCAATACATGCTCAATCTTAACTATATTAATGTAGTTTAAAGCTATTATACAAACACTAAGAAGGTTCCAAAGATAATGCTGTCAATCAACATGTAGTATCAACCTTATTGTTTCAATTTATGGGAAGATTCACCAAACATGAAAAGACAGCCAGAGTACACCCGCTGCATATGGTGACACTGCACAGTACCCTACAAAACCCTTAACAGGATCTTGTGGCATCCCAGGGTACAATGGCACCCTGGGTGAGAATCATGCGTTTAGCAAGTCATATTCGTGCAACTAGCACCGAGTGATGGAAGGGAAGGTAGGGCTTAGTCCAACTCTCAGTGCTTTCAGGGATCCCCCACAATCTGGCCAATACCCTTCATAGCACCAGTTTCAACATGCAACGAAGCTAAGGCAGCAGTGCTTTGAGTTGCTCTTCAAGCACTGATTTCCAAGCTGGTGTACAGCCACAGGATCCTTAAAGTGACAAGGTCAAGTACCAGTGAGAATGCTTGAAACATGTTTATGCTTCCTCGTACAAACTCAGCTATTTAAACCAAACCAACAAAATTGTTGTGTGCAAATGGTGTAAAGGAAGAACAACAATTTGTAGAATTCTAATGTCATAGTGACCTCACTTAACAGACACCAGAGCTGTTGTCCTAAACTAGCCAGTAATCTATAACCATAGTGCTTAGTCATTAATAGCTTAGCTTAAGTAGAAACTTTTTTCCCCCCCCCCCCCCTCAAATACAGCTTAAGGCACAAGATCACAATGAATTTTAACAACAGAGAAAGTGCGAAGAGTTTATGGGCTTATCTAGGGCATCCAGAGACAACAGGCACAAGAGTGGGTGCTCGGGATAAGTCTGGAACAGCCTAACAGACATGCTTATGATTTGGAGTACATTAGCTAACTCTAGGAAGAGGGCTTTCTTAGCTCTGGTCTTCTGGGGCACCTATACACGAGGGCAGAGGCTACTCCAACATGCTGTAATTTCAGTGCATCACAGCAGGCTCAATTAATCAAATCTGCTGGAACGTGGCAATTACCACACTCCAGCCAGCTTCTGCATCTTTTGTATTAATGTCCCTCCACTTCAAAACGGTAGCGGGATCACTTGAAGTAAAGCTCGTCAAACAAGCTTTAGTTCAAGCACTCCACCACCGTTTTGAAGCACAGAAATGCTGATACACAAGACACTGCAGCACTTCGAAGCGGCTCTCAGAGCCACTCTAATTAAAATGCCACACCTCCACCCCCAGAGCATGTGCAGAAGTGCCCCCGAAGACCTGTGGCTGATATAGCATAGACAAGCCCAACATTATTCCATTGACATGATTCAAGTCAAAGAAAATACTAGCAGAGTCTACATTTCTTAACTTAATCATCAGATATACTGGCAAACTAGCAAAAATAGATTCTGAACTCAGAGTGAATTCTTATGGTTTGGGAAAACTATACTGTATCTTTCATCCAAAAAGCACAAAACCCCTACTTTAAAAGTAAAAATATAACAATTATAGCATGGGTAGCTAACCTGCAGCACCCATGGCATAAGTGACACAGGCAGCCTGTGTGTGTGGCATGCAGTAAATACGGGAGGGGACAGACAACAGCAGATAAGGCAGCAAATAGAAAGCAGAGCAGTAGTTTGGGTAGGGAGCACAGGGCAAGGAACAGAAAGCAGCGCAGCAGATTGGACAGAGGAAGGAGATCAGAGTAGCACTTGTGGAAGATGCAAAACTAAGTTGTAGTACACCCGCCAAAGAGGTTGGCTCCCAGTGAACTACAGAATCATGACAAGCACCTCCAGAACTATGCTTTATTCCTTTTAGACACTTCCAATGTTACATTAGCAGATAAACAAAGTTACTGAGTATTTTGCCACCAAATGGTATTCAAGATACATGAATAAGAGGGGGCAAGGAGTCCTGAATCCAGCTCAACTTGTTTTTTAGTGAATCAGTCTCTGTAAAGTGGGATCCCCACCTTGTGAATATACTAATATATCTGGAGAATGTCAACATCTTTGCATAATGTAAGTTTCACTCTAAGAACTGCTTTTTAAAATTCAGCCATGTTATTCAAGTCAGAATATTAACTTCAATGATTTTACTGTCAGACATTCCTGATGATCTGCTTAAAGAGTTCTCAGTAAGAATCACAGGAAGTCATCTGAATCTTATAAAATAGGTTGTAAAAATTGGCTGTTATAAAAGAATCAGGAAGTCAAGTTACCGGTTTGATGCGGAGCTGGTCACCCACCACTTTTAATACAGCATGTTTCCTAGATACTCGCTTATCTGTAATCTGGAGGGGTGGAAAAAAAGAAAGGGAATCAACAAAAGCAGATTGCAGCATTTATACCACTGGAGTGAATAAAGCAAGTACAATCGAAACAAATCAAAATAAACAAGTTACAAGG